ATGACAATACATGACGTTATTGTTCATATTGCTGTTTACGAGGACGTGGCTAGATAGATGTTGTTGTGTTGCTGTGAGAGCTTTATACAGCTTGTTGCGTGAGAGTGTAAGCGGGAAAGAGAATGTTGGGAAACTTCTTGCTCACGAGAGCAAATTCGTCAAACGAAATGACGCCGTCGCCGTCCTTGTCGCCTTGGGACATGATTGTGTCTGCTTTTCGTGCGACCTACCACCGCATTCGCAACGTCTCTCGCAACACAAATGCGTCTACCTCGGACTCGTTGGAGGCCATGTGATTCGCCTTCAAGATGCGCATGAGCTCTTGCTTGGTCAAGACGCCGTTGCCATCTTCATCAAAGATCATAAAGGCAAACTTGAGTTTCTCTTCCTTCTCAGCGCCCGTAAAGTTGGAGAGACTGATCATAAACTACAAGACAGCCGGTCCACAATAGGTTTCGAACACAAACATTCGTACCTCGCGCACGTCGATGCGCCCAACCTTGTCGTTGTCAAAGAGCTGGAAGAGCTTTTCACACTGCGGCGACGGGTCCACGAGCATGATTTCGCAGAATTCCGTGTAGTCGATCTGCCCGGACCCGTCCTTATCGGTGGCTTGGAAGCGCTTGTACGCCTTCTTGACCGACTCGGGCTTGATGTTGTTGTCTTGCGCAAACTCCTCGAGAATGTTCTTGCGCTCATTGCGTAGCTGGATCGACGACGCAGCGCCCGCACCCGTTGCTAAACACAACGTCAGCTGGGAGCTCGTGTCGTACACTGTACCAATTGCAGCGACTTCGCCGTCGCCGGCCGCCACAAAGAGACCGGACGGCGGCTCCTTCCCGCCCGTGACCATCTTGTAGAATTCGTCAAACGACACTTGGCCATCGCCGTCGAGGTCGACCATGCGAATCATCTCATCGACCTCCTCGTCCGTGGGCGACTCGCCAATGTTGATGAGCACGTGCCGAATCTCGGCCGCGCCCACATAGTTGTTGTGGTCCAAGTCAAAGGCGCGAAACGCCTACGCTCGCTTGATACATTGATACAAAGAGCACCCGTGTACCTCGAGGATTTCGCTGTCACTAAACTTGCCGTTCGGGTCACGCGGAGGCTCTGTGGGGGCGGCTGGCGGCGCGCCAGCTACGGGCGGCGTCATCGCGCCCATCTGCGGCGGTGTGCGCATCGCTCCTACATTGCTCGTGTCGTACAAGGAGTGTATGGGCGGGCAGCTTGTACCTGGTGGACCGACCACCGGCTTTGTGAATTGTACGACAAGAGACACCTTGCCCGCGTCTTGGTCGTTGTCCTTGACGTCAATATCGCCTTCGAAGCTGCCTTTGGCGATCCATGGAATCAAGTCGACCTAAAGTGTCGGTGGAAAACTCGGGTTTGGTCATTTGGTTGCGGACTGTTGTTTTGCCCATGGCGCGGTCGCTGCCGTTCTGCTCCTTATCGAACAGCTCGATGATGAGCTCCTTCTCGGTTGAGATGCTAAACTCGAACGACTCGTTCCACGTCGGGTTCTTTCCCCCTTTTTCGTGGACCTACAGAAATACCACCGTGACCATTACGACTTGAATCAACTTGAAGTGCCTTGGTCTGGAAGCTCTGGGTTCCGATCGTGAGCTTGGCGTACGGGTCGGCCGTCTGAAGCGCCCCAAGACTCATGAGCTCGAGGCCCTTTAGCAGCTTCACCGAGAGCTTCCCGAAGCGAGGCACGGCACCAGGTGGACCGCCTACGATACCCTTTCATACCCACCTTTGCATTTCAAAAATGAAGTACCGGGTCCCGGCGGCATTCCTGGCATGCCTGGGGGTCGCATGCCGGGAGGACCTACGGAAACAAGGTCGTGAGCGTTGCAACTCGCAAAACTGACGTGGCAACCTGGTGGACCGCGAGGCGGACCACGACCTGGCATGCCTTCAAAAGAGTGAGCAACTAGAAGACACCACGTGTATCAAACCTGGTGGCCCTCCTACGCCATATTTAGGTTAGGAAGAGAAGCTAGAAGCAGGTGGGAGAGTCTACCTGGTGGACCGCGTGGCATCATGCCCGGTGGCATTCCTACATGCGTGCGTTCAATTTATGTTTGGGCTTGGATCAGTCGATACCTGGTGGGCCTCGTGGCATCATTCCCGGTGGTGCACCTGTTTTTGATGAAATTTATCCACCCCCTCAGCGTATATTGCAACGTACCAGGCGGGCCTCGTGGCGGCATGCCAGGCGGACCCCGGGGTGGCATACCCGGTGGCATACCTGGTGGACCTCTTGGTGGCATCCCAGGCGGCGCACCCGGTGGACCTCGCGGTGGCATTCCTGGTGGTCCTCCAGGCGGAGGCCCTGCATAAGCAAGTTTGAGGCGTTCTAGAAGCACTACGACGGCGCTTCGCACCTCGAGGCATACCCCCTGGAGGTGCTCCTACGTCAAGACTAAATTAGTGTCCTAGTGCTTGCAAAAAGGTTTCAACCAGGTGGCGGCGGTCGACCCATCATGGGCATGCCTACAGCGAGTTGTCGATACCAACTTCGAGTATTGCGCCATGGTGCAGAGACAATACCTGGCGGTGGGCCTCCGGGTGGTCCTCCTTGTTGCGGTACTCCAGGCGGGCCTCCTGGCGGCGGGCCTCGCGGTGGCATTCCTGGTGGACCTCCTGGTGGTGGGCCCCGTGGTGGTCCACCAGGCATGGCCCCTGGTGGACCGCCTGGTGGTGGTCCTCGCGGTGGTCCTCCTGGTGGTCCACCCGGTGGTGGTCCTCGCGGTGGTCCTCCTGGCGGGCCGCCAGGCGGGGGTCCTCGCGGTGGCATTCCTGGTGGGCCTCCGGGTGGTGGTCCTCGTGGCTGCATTCCTGGAGGTCCACCCGGCGGAGGCCCTCTTCCTGGTGGTCCTCCTGGTGGCGGGCCTCGTCCTGGTGGTCCTCCTGGTGG